TTTTGGTAAACAGCCGGCGGTCCAGGTGAACCAACGGATGGGCGAAACGAGCGGCCTCCCAGGGTCGGTCTGAGGGACCCGTGCTTTCCTGTCCATGGGAGCCCCAAACGTCAAACCACTCTTGCGCAGCCCTGTCGGCCGCTTCCTGAGGATCAGCAAGCTCGAGGTTGGAGACGGAGTAACCCGTGACGGGGGGAGGAGGGGTACGCCACTTGCTGATCCTGTGGATGAAAGAAGAGCCTGCTGCCGATTCCGTCTTCAAACGTTCTCGCCATTCTTTTGACCGTGTGGCTGCCTGCTGCCGCTCGATGGTCTGAGCGTTGGCTACAGCTCGTCGCTGGAGACCCATGATCTCGGGGGCCTGCTCCATGAGCGCTGGGCCCTCGAGACAAAAGGCGCGGTATCGTTCAAACTGGGCGATTACGTGCTCAGCCTCCTCCCCCAAGTCGTGAACCAACCGACTCCTTCCTCCTTCGATGCGGCGCTCGAGCTTTGCTCGTCGCGCGCGTGCATGCATCCAGGTACCTTCCTGCTGGGCAGCTTGTGCGAGGAAAATAAAATCACTGGCTCGTGCGGCGACCCACCGCCAGGCTCGGGAGCTAGGCGTTCCCCTGGGGCGTGCGTGCGATTGAGGACCAGCGAGGGGGGCCCAGGTCCACCGAGGAGGATCGCCCCGACCGAGGTAGGATTGGGGTTCTTCCACGCCCAGGAGATCCACCAGCTCTGTTTCAGCACAGTGTGAAATCTGCTTCCAAAGCTGGTCAAGCTGGGTGCCATTTAAATCGTCCTGATGATCGAAATCTGGCCACTGTGCAGGCTGCGGGACTGGTCCGCACGGCCTCTCCATTGGGAAAGGTCTGGGCTTGGCAAGCCTCCAGCCGCCTTTTGCTCGCATCCTGGACTGCATGACTAGGCGAACGGGCGAGTGAGGTGCGGCTGCGGTGTCTAATACTTCTACCGTGTCTCCGAAAGCATGCTGGATGCGGGCGTCGAGCACAAAGAAATCGATGATACTGCCACCGCCGACTCCTGCACACGTGGTAGTGGAAGGGAGTCGCACAACTCCACCCACATCTTGGCACCAACCCGTCTTGAGTAAAGACTCCCCCGTCTCGTTGAAGTCTGCTTGGAATACCCACGGTATGTCATACTGCTTGATGGCCGTTGCAATGGACTCCAGAATTGACAAATTTCGAATCGTCCAACCTTCCCGTGTCCAAAAGTATGCCGTGATAATCATGAGGCCACCCTTCTGTCCAGCAGAGCACCAGCCCACTGCCACGCGGCCAGGCGACCCAGGAGGTGAGATATCAAACGTATTCATGCCTTCAAGATGTGCAAGGCCAACATTCCTTGGCACGAGGAACCCAACTCCACTAGTCGGCCGTCCGCCTGGGCCGCTGACAGCTGGAACCAGTGCTGCCGTGTAGTGCCTGTTGAAGCTGGCCGCCTCGATGTCCTTGGCAATGGGCGCGGTCAGCCTATGCTCCTGAAGGAACGTGATATGCATGGGGCCCACGATCTTCCTTGTAGCGGCCTCATCCAAGACATCAATAGCCTGCGCCCAAGATGAACAGTTGAAGCCTATGAACTCGAGCCCCACGTTGCGCGTGCCGCCCTTGCCTCGACGACGTGGAGGGCTCGCCTTCGGTGAACTTGACCATGTAGAGAATGATGTACTGACTGCGTCAGGAGGAGACCCTCTGAAAGGTTCTGGCTCCTGCGACGTGCTGGGCTCATGCCATGAACCCGACCATGTAGAGCATTGTGTACTGGTACCTGCAGCCGTGGAGGCCAGGCTGCCGAGCCCGTGCGGGCTAAAGAGGTACTGGCTTGGCGACTGCCTCCGCCCTGCGAGCCCTGGCGCGCTGCAAGGCCTCCGCCAGCTCCTTGCCAGCGGCTTCACGACCAGCGTCAGGGCCAGCGTCAGAGCTGGCAGCGCCAGGCGAAGCGCCCTGGGCACCCTGCGGCTCCGCGGCGGGCTGGGCAGCCTGCTGGGCCTCCTGGGAGGCCTGGGCTGGCGCCTGCGGCGGGCCCCCCTCGGGGCTCTGGGCCGCTGGCGCCTCTGCAGCCGCCGCCTCCGCAGGAGGGTCCTCGCGCTTGGCCTGGGCAGGCGCCTGCGGCGGGCTCCCCTCGGGGGTCTGGGGCGATGACGCCTCTGTTGCCGCCGCGGCCGCAGGGGGGTGCTCCCGCCTGCGCTTCTTGAAGGTCTCGCGGAGCATCCTGATCTCTTCGAGCTGCTCGCGCTGGGACTTGAGGACGTCAGCCCCTGGCCCGAAGTGCGTGCGGACCGCCTGCTGCACCGACGCCTCGAAGGTCTGCTTGAGCTTGTTGAACTGCTGCCGCTGCTCGGATGTGGTATCCAGCCCCTCCAGGTCGAAGAGGGGGCCGTCCTCGATGACAAAACTGGCCTCTCCTTCGCCCAACAAGGCAGAGAGGTTGATGACCCCGCCGCCCTTGTTGGTCCCCTCAGGCTGAGGGTCCTTGCCTGGAGACGCCAACGCCTTCTTCTCCTGCGCCAGCTTGACCTCAGCCCCCACCAGGGCGTCAGCTGCCGCATCGGATCGAGCCTGGCATTCGTCGAGCCAGAGCTTGGCGTCGGCCAGCTGCTTGGCACGCTTCTCCAGCTCCCGACGAGCAGCCCTCTCCGCCGCGGCCGCCCGCTGGATGCCCTCCTCCAGGAGCGCGGGGCGCTCTGCACGGGCCGGCGGGGCGAAGGCGCTCTCGAGCTGCTGGAGCGCCTGCCTCTGGGCCTCGGAGAGGGCCTGCCCGCCGAGGGTCTGCACCACCTCGCCGATCGCAAGCGGCTCGGTCCTCTGCGTGGTCTCCTCGGCTTCCTGGTACCAGTCGGCGCCTTTGTGGTTGTCCTGCCACCAGCCTCCGCTGCCGCTAGCCCAGACGCCACGGGGCTTGGGAGCAGGAGGGTACGATGGTCGCAGGGCCTGCCCACAGCTGTAGCAGGACTGCTTGGTCTTGTAGGTCCAACGGTAACCGCACTTCTTGCATCCCACGTAGTCGGGCGAGAAGGAGACCCTTGGAGCTGGGGACTTGCCGCCCCCGCGCCTGCGATCCGACATGGCGGCGGGCTGGGCTGGGACTCTGGACGGCAGCGCGTAGCTCCCCGTACAGGTCTCGAGAGAAGATGTCGGGCTGAACAGCCCTGGCACTGCCGCGGACTAGCGGTATCCACTTGTTCCCCTGCGGAACTCAACATCTTGAGCCAAAATGGCTACGGGGAGGAGGAGGAGGAGGAGGAGAGGAGGAGGAGGAGGCGGAGGAGGAGGAGGAGGAGGAGGAGGAGGAGGGGTCCGCGCCCGCGCCGGCCGCTGCGCCAGCGGACCGGCTAGGCGGCCTGCGAAAAAAATCGGGGCGGCGGGCGCTCCCGACGTCCGCCGCCGCGCCTCCAAGGCACGTGCTGGAGCGTCCTCTGGTCCCTTTCTCGGTCCTCCGAGCGTGTGGATTGTACGGGAGTAGCTATATGGATCCGAGCTATGAGAGAGCACGTTCTCTTTCCTTTTACGGGAGCCTGGGCACGCCCGTCGCCTGCGCGCCAGACGACTCACGGGCCCTTGTGAACCACAACGGCGACACACAAGGGAGTACACAGAGAGGCGCAGGAGGCGGAAAGACTGACATAGGCATGACAACCACAGAGCCGCAGTCTCCCTGGGGCTTCGGCCGATCCCGCCGGCCACCCGGAAGGGACAACGGAGCACCTCAACGTTTGGAAAACATCCCCCAAGACGGCTCAAGATGGCCTCCAAAAGGGCGAGATGGCCTCCGAGTTCGCCCAAGGTCCAAGAGGGTCCAAGAGGCTCAAAGATACCTCCAAGTCCGCCCAAGAAGGCTCCAAGACAGGCCAAGACGGCCGAAGAGGGAGGGCCCCAGGAGGCCTCCAAGACAGCCCAAGAGGCCTCCGAGGGGTCCTCCAAGAGGGCCCGAAGATGCCCAAATCACTCATGCTCCTAACTTTCTTGACGGAGTTTGGCATTTGCTTCTTCTCGGCAATCCGACGGCCCAAGACGGCCAAGTGTGCCCCGAGATCGCCCCAAGATGGCCCCGAAGGCCTCCAAGATGGCCCCCATGACGGCCCAAGAAGCCTCCAACACGGCCCCAGGAGGGCCCCAAGACGGCCCAAAGAGGCCTCACAAACGCCCACTGTGGCCTCCAAGACGGCCCTGAAGCGCCCCAAGAGCGCCCCAAGTCGGTTCAGCAGGGCCCCCCCAAATGGCTTCCGATCGCGTCGGACGGGCCAGGAACGCCCTAAGACGGCCAAAGATGCACCCAAGTAGCCCCAAAGACCCCAAGAGGGCAAAGGAGACTTCCAAGAGGCCTCCAAGAGGACCACGAAAAGCTCCAAGAAGGCCCCAAGAGTCCTCCTCCTGCTGCTGCTGCTGCTCCTCCTCCTCCTCCTCCTCTCCTCCTCCTCCTCCTCCTCCTCCTCCTCCTCCCCTCCTCCTCCTCCTCCTCCTCCTCCTCCTCCTCCTCCTCTTCCGCTCCTCCCCTCCTCCTCCTCCGCCTCCTCCTCTCCTCCTTCTCCTCCTCCTCCTCCTCCTCGTCCTCCTCCTCCTCCACTCTACTTGTCCTCCCTCTCCTCCGCTTCTTCTCTCCCCCGCGTGTTCCCCAAAGGGTTTCCGCAACGGCTGGGGGAACGCATGGGCGGATAGCTTGGCAGAGCTCTGGCCACGACGCTCGGCCACACGGGCGATTCCAAAGAGGCAGGGGGCGGCGGCGACTCGCCGTGGGCGTCTCCGACAAAAACGGATCTGGGGAACCTCCGACGTTGGATGCGTCATCCGTAGAAGAACGAACAACATAAACATCAACTTTTGGCGCTCCGCGCGGAATTCTTGGATCCGCGCCAGACTCCCCTCCCAGGCGCGCGGGGCGCGCCAGGGGCGGCGCCAGAGGAGCCGCCAGGGGCGGGGGGCCCAGCGCGGATCCAAGAAATCCGCGCAGAGCTCCACATCTATGTTTGTGCCTGTTTTTTCTTCTTTGAATCATGGCACGACCGTGCTGTACATGCGCCGCACCAGCCCCAGGCAGAGACAGCAGCGCCAACTGCGCGCCGCGCTGGCCGCTCGGCCACTTGGCCGCTCGGGCGCGCTTCCCGCGTGCCGCGCCGGCCTCTCTGCCCGGGCAGGGACGGACCACGTCGTCGTGCAGGCACGGGCCCGCGCAGGCGCTGGCCAACGCAGAGGGGAGGACCAGCTCACAAGGGGGGGAACCACCGACGACGACGACGACGAGGTCGAGGAAGACGACGACGACGACGACGACGACGACGACGACGACGACGACGACGACGACGGCGGTGGCGGCGGCCGCGGTGGTGGCGGCAGCGGCGACGGCGGAGGACAAGCTCAAGGGAAGGGGGAACCAGAGGAGGACCAGCTCGGGGGGGGGATCGGCGATGGGCCCCCAATAGCGAAGCCGCACATGCTCCTGGGCATGGGCCACTGCGTTCCCCCTGTGAGCCGCCTGTACCCGCCCCCCGTGCACGCCAGTCGGAAGGAGTGGGTGAAAACATGAAGCAGGAAGGCGGATAAAGGAGATTGAGCCCAAGCCCACCCAGAGAACAAGAAGACACAGCAGAAGCGTGCCGCTTCTTGAAGGAGGAAGGCGCTAGAAACAGATCGGGATGTGGGAATCCAAGCGTACGTGTACGATGAACACGCGAATTGAACATTTGGGGAAACCAACAGGTACCGATACCGCTAACTACCGATACAGGACCTCTCCCAGGGTGCGTTCTGACCAGAATTTCGAGGCGAATCCAGCGGTGGCGACGAGGGCCTCCCAGGAGGCCCGAAAATGGGAAAACGGGCAAAGGGCAGAGGCATGGGCATCTGCTCCTCCTCTAGATGCTTGAGATGAGTACGCGATGCGTGGGAATCCAGACCTGGACGGTGTCGACGACCGACGTGCACGCTGCCCCTGCAAGAAGTGGACGGGTGGGGGGGGGGGGGGGGGGGCGGACCGCGCCGATACCCTCCCCGGGACACCGCGCGGCGCTCTGCTTAGGTCGGGCACGTCCCCCCCCAAAAAAAGAAGGGTAAAACAAATCGTTCCCTGATTGCTCCTTTTCGAAAAATGTTTGAAATCTCCTGTAGAGAGACATGCCCGACTCAACGCTTTGCCCCCGGCGGGGGCGCGTCACTGGTGGATCTCGCCGCCGACGGCGGCGACGGGCGTGATGCCGGCCACCCGCCGGAAGATCTCGCCTTCGACGGCAACTCACGGGAGCCTCCCATGCCATCCTGTCGGCTCGTGCGAGCCGACGCAAGATCGAAGTGAATCGGCGCTCCAGTGTCGGCCCGTATCAGAAGGATGAGCGTTGAGGATTGAAGGGCCTTGGAAGGCCGTCTCGAAGCCTCTCGAGCGGGGCGCGGCCAGCGGCCAAGGATGGACCGCGGAGGCAAGGATACGAGGGTACCCTTAGGAAGGATGCCCATCCTCATTATGCGGGTTGACTGTACCATCCTACTGGCTCCTGCAAATCGACGCCAAGCGACGCGAATCGGCGCTAAACCGACGCCAATTCAACGCCGATCGACGCTAAATCAGCGCCATCCCCTCGATTACCAGACGCTAATCGACGCCAAATCGGCGTCACCTCCTCGATTACCAGACGCTGATCGACGCAAACGCACACTAGAGACGGGACGGCGAAGTGTACAAGGCTCCCATGATTTGCCACCGAGCTCGCCCATGCCGGAGTCGTACCCATTGGCTGCCCGCTCCCGGCACAGGGAGGAGTACTCGGCCTCGTCCTGGTACCTGACTCCGCCCCTGGTGTTAGGTCGGGCAGGTCCCCCTATAGGCGGATTTCGAAAGAAAAATGAACAATACCAAAACAATATTCAACCAAGGTCAGAAACAGTCGGAAAAATCGTTACCTGATTTTTGTTCTACCATTCCTGAATTTACCTCCTGTAGGAGGACATACCCGATGGATGCCTGGTGGTGACGCGGCCGGGCACGGGCTCGTCGGAGTCCCAGGCGGGGTCGGCGCCGTCCGGGAAGTCGAAGAGCATGCCGATGATGACGTACCCGTTGTCGCTCAGCGGGGCCTCGCGGGAGGCACAGGGACATGCCAGCACTGGAGATCCTCCTCGGAGGCGTGCGCCAGGCCCGAACACAGTTCGTGTTCCCAACTTGTGGCACGCATCGCTTCCCGAGCGGTGCGGCCAGAGAGCGCCAGCCACGACAAAGATGCTACAAGATTTCTCGGCGCGCGCGTCGCCGGGGGGGGGGGGCGACGCACACATGGTTTTTGTGAGTTGGGGTGACGCCGACCTTGTGCAGGGCGCCATCCGAGTCGCAGCTAATTTCGGGGGCCGTCATCGCCAGGGTGACGTCGCCCTGCATGAAGCCATCCTGGAAGGGCTTCTTCAGCTCTTCTGGATGCTCGCAAGGATTCCCCAGAACGGTGAAATGGTACGTGCGCTCACCATCTGCAGTCTTGACGGTTCTGGTGTCCACCTTCATGAAGTCCTGCGTGTCGCACACGCAGGGCCAGCAACAATAGTGCATGAAGCCAGCATGGGTCCCCGAGCCATCCGCTTTCGGCAGCGTCAACTTGTAGCGGTTGAAATCGCTCGGCCGCGTGGGTGAGCCACTGACGGCGCAAAAGCACCTGAACATGTCCACCAGCTTCTCAGAGGTCATCTGCTCGGCGCGCTCCAGGAGAAACCAGCTCCACAGGTGGGAGGCAGCGTTGCGGTTGCCGTGCGGGAAGATGCCGTCGTACTCGTAGTGCAGGTCGGAGCAGGTGCTGCCAGCCCAGAGCTCCGACACCTGCGGCACCTCCGGCGCCGTCTCCGCCAGCGCGCGGGGCACGGGCGAGCCGGCGGCCACGGAGGCGCGGTGCGGCCGCAGGGCCGCCGCCAGCAGCGCGAGCCTGCGGGCCATGGCGGCGCGCGCCGCGGCGGGGATGAGGCGAGCGAGCCGCGCCTTCCAGCCAGGGGCCTGCGGGGCGGCAGCGACCAGGGGGCGACCGAGAAGAGGACGAGCATTGTCTAACCAATCCCCACCAGCGTGGGCTGGGCCCCACTGGCCGATTCACCCCCCTGGATGGGGACCTGGGCTGCACTCTTCGGGTTTCGAGGGGCATATCCCGAACTGAGGTGCTGAAACAGTGGGACTCGAGATGTGGATGGGGATGGGGATGGGGATCGAATAAACGATGCTGAGACTAAGCGAGGTCGCCCACCTTCGCGCAGAGCGCCGCGGGAAGGGCAGCTGCCCCTGGCCCATGCCGCGACGCGGGCCCCGCGGGCATCCTCTCGCGCCCCTGCGGGCGGTGTCGCGGAGGCCAGCGCACGGACTCCAAACCGGTAGGTGTGCAACAGGTGGGGAGACCCATGCACGGAGCCCCACCACGCTTCACGCACCTGTGCGCACATACACACACACACACACACACACACATGGAACCCCATGCGCGTGGAACCCAAATCTGAGTGGAGCCCCGTGCGTGGAACGCCTTGTGAGTGGAGCACCATGCGCGAAACAGCGCGCGTGCGGAGCCCCGTCTGCATGGAACCCGCAGGGACAGCGTGGTGGGAAGAAGCCACGGGGGTCCGAGCAGCCACCGCATGAAAAGTGCAGGGGGCAGCGTGGCAGGACGCCACCGGGGTCCCCTGAAGCCAGTGAAAAAGGGCACGAGGCAGGGCCAGCAGGGCGAGCAGGGCGGGAAGCCACACGGAGGGTCCGGGCAGCCACCGAAGCAGAGCGCAAGCAGACAAGACCAGCGGGGCGGAAGGCCGCGTGGCTCCGAGCACCCAGCCACCAGCAGGAGGAGGAGGAGGAGGAGAACGACGACGACGACGAGGAGGGGGAGGAGGAGGCGGGGGAGGAGGAGGGGAGGAGGAGGAGGAGGAGGGGGAGGAGGGGGAGGAGGAGGGGCGGGAGGGGGGGGGAGGAGGAGCAGGAGCAGGAGGAGGAGGAGGAGGAGGAGGAGGAGGAGGGGCAGGAGGAGGGACAGGAGGAGGAGGAGGAGGAGGAGAGAGCAGCAGACAGGCCCGACTCCCTGCGCGGCGCGTGCAACAGACACGCGCCCGAGGGCAGCACCGCTGCTGGAGCGAGCCGTTCCCCGAGTCGCTCGACGGCGTGCTCTGTTTCACGGCGCGGGTCCGTGCGGAGCATCGATTCCGTGCCAACACAGCGCATAATTGCGAGAGATCCCCGCATGAGTTGCTGCCTTCCAAAGCCGCAGAGGCTCGAACCGAGAAGTCACTCTTTGACATGAGCTAGAGCCAGGCATCAAAAAGATGCGCATCCAAAGTTTGAGAATTATTTGGTTTCATCGGGATCGACCACTAGGGGAACGAAGAATGACATTAACAGAAAAACTCGGAGGTCCGCGCGGATTTCTCGGATCCGCGCTGGATCCCCCTGGCGGCGTCTCCAGCGCCGATCCAAGAAATCCGTGCGGACCTCCGAGTTTTTGTGGTCATGTCATTGTTCGGCTCCCTAACAACAGGGGCACGCGTCATCGCAGGCCGTGCTTGACCGCCCAAAACTAAGAAGGAACCACATACACGCACACACACACAGACACACACACACTCAAACATATAGAGAGGAACATTGAGAAGGACAAGGTGATGACGGCGCTGGACGTATGGGCGCGAGTTGTCGGACCCAGAGTTGGGGGGTCAGTTCAAGCTGGGGCCCCCATGCGACAACACACACACCCATAGCCCCCAAGGAATTACACCCCGAGAAATCTAAGGGTCGCGGAGGTCTGGGTGCGAATCGTCAGATCATGATTAAACCTCCGCGAAATCAATGTTTGTCGGGACGTGGCGGCGCTCCCGGCCCAGCGAACGCACCGAAATTGGCGTTTCCGATCGTTTTTCAGATCCCGCGGGTCGCGTTGCGAGCGTCACTGGTCAGTGATAAATGGGGTGCGAGAGGCTTTGGAAGACTACTTGCGATTCATGTCGCGGAGGGCTGTAGGGGCAAGGAAACTACCGTCCGGACTTCCAAGCCCCACCAGCCCTTTGTTCGAAGGCTGCTTAGAAAGATGTTGTTGTTCCAATCACATTATCCCCCCTGTCCCACTGTGCCTGATCCTCATTATCCTCGTCTCCTCCTTCTGCTGCTTCCCCTCCTCCTTCAACCTGCTCTTTGTCCATCCAGATCATCATCCTGATCATCTGCCACGTTCTCTTCCAATGTACAAAGCTCCCCTGTCGAATTGAGCATCACGCGATAGGGTCATATTGGAGGTCAAGGACCTCTTAAACGCCCCAGGTGGCAGATAGCAAATACTATATCGCAATGGGGAGGGATAAATGTGAAGCTTAGAAACTCAGGTGTGGCGCGAGCGCACGTAGCTTGCCCCTTCCCCCTGTCTCCGTCCACGTTCCTGCCTTGTTCCCTCCTCTACCCTTCCTTGTCTACCCCTGGCATCCTCGTCCTCGTAGTCATCCTCCTCCTAGTTATCATCATGATCATCAGTATCAGCAGCAGCAGCATCATCATGATAAGCATCATCATCATCATCATCAGCATCATCATCACCAGGATCATCATATTCAGCATCATCATCAACATCATGATCAGCATCAGCATCAGCATCAGCATCAACATTCGCAGCATCATCCTCATCATCAGCCCATCAACATAATAAACAACAGCATCACCATCTCATCATCTGCATCAATATCATGATGCTCGACATCATCATCTGCATGGAATGATCATCATAATCATCATATCCACCACCACCACCATCATCATCATCATCATCATCAGCATCATCATCACCATCATCATTATCATCCTACCATCCGCCACTCAACAGTCCCGCCGTCCTCCTCATGCTCCTTGCCCCTCCTGCGCATCCATGGCCAGCCGGCAAGCCCCCTGCTCAACCACCTGCTACGGAAATACCTAGGCAAGTGCCGAGAAGCATCGCCTCGATCATCACCCGGTGCACAGCGGTGAGGGCGCCGGTCACCGCGATGCCTGAGAGCGCGTCTGCCGGCGGTGGCCGCCAACTTTCTCACACGCCGATAGCTGATCCGTCTCCTCCAACTTCCACCATGATCCTCGTCGTCGCGTTTGTCCTGTCATTCGTCGTCGTCAGCATCATCACCAGCATCATCATGACCACCAGAGCCACCATCCTCATGATCACCATTAACATCATCATCAGCATCATCATCATCATCATCAGCAGCATCATCAGCATCATCATCACCATCATCATCATAAACATGATCATCCTTACCCTCCTCCCCTTCCACCTCCTAACCATCATCATCCAAATACACCATCACCATTACCAGCTGCCATCATGGTTATCATAACCATCATCATCATCATCATCATCATCATCATCATCATCGACCATCATATCATCATCAGCTTAATCTCCATCAGGATCAGCATAATCATGAGCATCATGATCATCGTCAGCAGCAGCATCATGGTCATCGTCGTCGACGGCGTCGTCGTCGTCATCGGCATCATCAGCAGCAGCAGCAGCAGCAACGTCAACATCATCATCATCATCAGCAGCAGCAGAATGATCAGCATCATCATCAGCAGCAGCATCGTCGTCATCATCATCATCACCATCATCATCACAATCGGAATCCGTATCATGATTATCATCATCACCACCGTCATCAGCCTCATCATCAGCATCAGCATCAGCATCAGCATCATCATCAGCATCAGCATCAGCATCAACATCATCATCGTCGTCATCATCATAATCATCATCAGCATCAGCATCATCAGATTCAGCATCATCGTCACCACCATCACCGTCATCATCATCGACATCACTCAGCATCACCATCATCAGCATGATCATCAGCATTAGCATCAGCATCATCACCAGAATCATCTGTATCATCAACATCATCATCATTACCATCATCATCACCGTCATCATCACCATCATCAGCATCACCATCCTCCCTGTCATCACCACCACCATCATCATCATCATCATCATCAACATCATCATCACCGTCAGCATGATCATGATCATCATCATCGTCATAAACATGGTCGGCATCAGCATTATAATCGTCATCAGCACAAACAGCATCATCGTCGTCAGCAGCGTCATCATCATCAGCAGCAAAATCATCATCATCATCATCACCACCACCATTATCGTAAGCAGCGTCAGTATCAGCATCATCATCATCGTTATGATCACCACCATCATCATCATCACCATCAGCAGCACCATCATCGGCAGCATCATCATCAGCAACAGATCATCAGCATCAACATCCTCATCAGCAGCATCATCATGAACATCATCGCCGTCGCAATAGCAATCCTCATCACAAGAATTAGCACAATCGTCATCATCATCAGCATCATCATAACCATCATCAGTATCATCATAATCTTAACCACCACCATCATCATCATCATCATCATCATCATCATCATCAGCATTGCCATTGTCATCATCATCAGCATCATCATCATCATCAGCAACAAGCAACATCATCATCATCATCATCATCATCATCATCATCATCATCATCATCATCATCAGTACCACCAGCACCATCATCAGCAGCACTTTCCTTCTTCTCTGTCCTCTGTTCGTCCTACCCCATCCTCCCACCTCCCGCCTCCTCCCCCTCCCTGCTCATCCTCCTGCTGGTCCTTCTCCTCTCCTCCTTGTCCTCCTCCTCCTCCGCCTCCTCCTCCTCTGCATAACAATCCTCATCCTCCTCTCCCCATTCATCTCCCCCTCCTCCTCCCAACCTCCTCCTCCCCTCCTCCTCCTGACCCCTACTCCTCCTCCGGACAGCCATTTTGGCTCAAGAGCTTGCTAGCCCCTGGCTCGAGCTGGCAGCGGCCATGGCCGGCGCGACGGCGAAAGCACTCCCTCGGCGCGGCTGTGCGCGAGCCAGCGGCCCTCGCCGGGCGGTGGCGGCCGGGGCGGAGGCCCTCTGGCGGACGGCCGGTGCCGAGGCTGGCAGCTCGCTTGGAGGTCTCGAGGAGGAGGAGGAGGAGGAGGAGGAGGAGGAGGAGGAAACAACAACAAACACCCATACCCATAGGGGGTCGGGGAGGGCTATGGGTGCGTGTTGTCGAACGAGGGTCCTCGCTCGAACGAGAACGTTCCCAAGGGTCCGACAACCCGCACCCATACCCATAACCAGTCCTCCTCCCAACGACTCCCTATGGGTATGGGTGTGCGTTGTTCATTCGTCAGAAGAGGAGGAGGAGGAGGAGGAGGAGGAGGAGGAGGAGGAGGAGGAGGAGGAGGAGGAGAGGGAGGAGGAGGTCCAGGAGCGCATGGAGCTGATCAAGCCCGTCCTTCGCGCGAAGGCCGCGGCGGCGGTCGGCAACTCGCCGATCGTCGTCGCCAGCGGGGTCAAGGCGCAGAGGAGCGCCGCGGAGCCCGGCCTCTTCGCGGAGGGCGCGGAGGCTTTGCCCAAGAGCGGGGTGAAGGCTAAGCGGCGGCAGCGGGGGCGGCGGCGCGGTGCCAAATGTGGCGCCCAGGATACCGCCTCGGACAAAGATGGGGGCGTGGGCGTGGAGGGCGAGGCCATGGAGGTCCCCATCACCAGCGACGTGGAGGTGGCCCGAGATGCGCAAGCAGGCCGTCCAGCTGGAGCAGAAGGAGCGGGACCCCGTGATCGAGGCGTGCGAGCGGCTCATGGACTTCACGGACGAGGTCACCGCCCTCGAGGGCCAGCTGGCGAAGGCGGAGGAGGTCAGGTGCATGGCCGCGGAGTCCGTCTTCGAATTCGGCCCCGAGGCCCAGGAGCTGGGCCTGTGCATGTTGAAGGCCGCCAAGATGAACGAGCAGGTATGAAGTATCGGCCATCGTCGCGGTGCCCTTCGACAAAGGCGGACGGGTGGCTGTGCTCCCAGTTTGGGCACCCTACGTTCTCTTCCAGGTCTGAGGAAGCGGGTCGTTGGACTCCAAGGATCGTCGGGGTTGGTGTCAACTTTCATCGATGATGTTGGGGTCCAGGAATATGTGCCGCGTGGACGGCAGCAGGCGAATCCTTCATGACGAATCCTCCTCCTCCTTCTCCTCCTCCTCCTTCCCTCCTCCTACTCCTCCTCCTGATTATCCTTCTCCTCTTCCTCCTCCTCCCACCTGCCCATGCTCGACCTCCTCCTCCTCCTCCTCCTCCTCCTCCTCCTAATCCTTCATACCTTCTCCTCCTCATACGCCGCCTCCTCACCCTCCACACATCATCCTTATAACCGTATCCCTCCTGTCGCACCACCAGACGCGTCCGCAAGGCGGGCCAGGCGTCTCCTTCAAGACATCCCTACACTACAGCTTCGCTTGAAGCTGAAATCTCCAACAGCTGCACGGAAGAAGACAGGCCAATTTCGAAATGCGGATCTCGCCATAGGCCGTGGGGCGCGCAGATTCGTCTTGAAAGCAGGCAGCCGTTGCGTTCGGGGACGGAGGCCGGTACGTCTTCAGCCCACAAAGCTCTCGGCGCCTCGCCTGCACGGGTGGAGGGCGGCGTGCCTGCAGGATGGGGGCCCATCGTTCGAGATGTCCGCACGTGGTGCACCAGTTGCACGGATGAAGAGCAGACCCTTTCACGAAGGGGGCGATCGCTGAACCGTTCCTAAGATTGCATCGGTGTACCTCTTTAAGATTCTTCGAGCTGGAAGGGTGGAGGGCCGACCCTTCAGAACACGGGGCCTCGCATGTGTTGCAGGCTCCTCCTCCTCCTCATCGTCCTCCATCATCAGCATCATCATCAGCAGCCTCATCTTCATCACCATCACCACCACTACCATCACCATCATCATCATAACCATCACTACCACCATCACTAGCATCTTCATCATCATCATCATCACCACCATCACCATCATCATGCTCAAAAAAAAACCATCATCAGAAGCAGCAGCATCATCAGTGTGGGCATCAGCATTAGCATCAGAATCGTCATCATCATAATCAATATGATCATTAGCACCAGCATTCGCATCAGCATCAACATCATCATCATCATCATCATCATCATCATCATCAGCAGCATCATCATCACTAATCTCACCATCGTCAACAGCATCAAGACAATTGCGTCCGCATTATCATCACCGCCACCACCATCATCGTCAGCAGCAGAAGCAGCACCCTCGTCATCATCGTCACTATCACCATCAGCATCAGCATCAGCATCAGCATCAGCATCATCAGCAGCATCAATATCATCACTACCATCACTCATTTCATTATCTTAGCGTATCCCTCCCTCCCTCCCTCCCTCCATCTCATCCCCTGTTCCCCCTCGCGTGTTCCCGCGCGTGCGCGTTGGGAGTTGAAAACTGAAGGGGGGAGAAGGAGGGAGGCAGGAAGGGACGGAGAGAGTAGGAGAGAGGGCGGGAGGGGAGGGGGGAATGAAAATCGATAGGAGGCTGAAAGAATAAAGGGAGAATGGAGGAAGGATGGACGACAACGACCACGGAGAACCTTGGAAAGCCTCTCAAAACTGTCGGAAACCTTCGAAGACATAGTTAAGCATGTAAAAAATCTTAGCCACCGTGGACCCCCAAACAGTCCGTGATTGCACTGTAGAGTTGAAAGCTATGCGGTGTAAGTTATGTGGTGAAAGCCCTATGGTTCAAGCTATGTGGCGTGAGCTGTGGAGGTGACGCTTATGCGGCGTCAGCTGTGTGATGCAAGCTACGTCGTGTACACTAGGCAGTGTGAAGTGGAGGTGGAAGCAATGGGGTGCAATGTGATGCAGGTTGCGTTGTGCAACACAGGATGGGCGAGCTACGCGGTGTAAGCTAACCTACAGTAGGAGCCCGACCAGAAGACACCTTCCACAAGAAACCCGACCCTGAGACCCCAGGATGTGGATGTCCATTGATTCTTGGCGTGGGAACGTCACACTTTCCCTGGCTTAGTGGGCCCCAAAATTGCAAGGCCGCTTCTTCACCGTTTCTGGAAAAAATGCCTCTTGCAAACGGAAGCGGTGAAAAGACGGCGACCGGAAACCGCAAAAAACGGCTCGGCGATTGGAACCGGACCCGGAACCAGAGAAAAAAACGGCAAAGGAACCGGCAGAACAACGGCGTCGGAGACAGCAAAAAAGACGGCAAAACGGAACCAGCAAAAAAAACGGCCCCGCCGTGTCTCCAGGGCCAACGAAACCCAGGGCACTGTGGAGGCGAGCAGGATGATTCTTGGCACGGGTTTCCACTGTAGGCTAACCTTCGGTGTGAAGATAATTCAGCAGGGGCCCGACCACAAGAAACCTTCCACGAGAAACCCAACCCCCAGGACGTCCAGTGATTCTTTCCATCATAAAAGCAGCGAGCCCCAAGAAACCCTGGAGGCGATCAGGGTGTTTCTCGGCATGGGCCCCCACTGTAGGCTAACCTACGGTGTGAGAATGATGATAAGGAGGAGGAGGAGGACGACGACGAGGACGAGGGGGAGGTGGAGGAGCAGGAGAAAGAGCAGGAGAAGGAGGAGGAGCAGGAAAATCAGGAGGAAGAGGAGGAGGAGGCTGACCTGCGGTGTGAGCTCCGACCACGGGCCGCCCACGAGGGGCGGCCGCGGAGCGCACGAAGCGCGGCCACGAAGCTTGAAGCGCACCGCGAGCGGAGGCGGCACGGGCGGCACCGTGGAGCAGCCGCGGCGCAGACTCCCCGAGCGCGGGGACGCCCACGAGGCGCCCACAGAGCGGCACGGGCGAACGTCCAGAACACCCATCCCGTTCCTCGAGAGAGAGAGAGAGGGAGCGATCTAAAAAAAGAGCCCAAGAGGGTAAGCAATGTTTTAGGACCGTTGGGCTACCATCAGGAATCCTGGAACGCCGACAGCGACGAGGACGGCGAGGACGGCGACGGCGGGCAGCGTCTGCCAGGTTCCATCATCCATCCTCCCAACTCCTCCTCCCTCATCCCCTCCCGACGCCATCCTGCTCCTCCTTCTCCCCACCCCTTCTCCATCCCCTCCCTCTTTCCCTTATCCTTCCTCCTCCGTCTCCCACTTCCTCTACCGCTCCCACTCCTCCTCCTCCTCCTCCTCCTCCTCCTCCTCCTCCTCCTCCTCCTCCTCCTCCTCCTCCTCCCCTTCACTCTGAACCTCGTCCTCGGCCTCACCATCATCCGCATCCTCATCCTCATCATCCTCATTCTCCTACCCCTACCGCTCCCTCTACCGATCTCCCCCCATTCCTCTCCCATGTGCATTCCCTCTTTCCCCGCCTTCTCCCCCGCCTCCTCATCATCGTTCTCCTCATCATCCTCATCATCATGATCATCCTCATCACCAACGTCATCGTCCTCATCCTCATCCTGATCATCCTCATCATCATCCTCCTCTTCATCCTCATCCCCATCCGCCTTCTCCTCCGCCTCAGCATCATCATCAGCAGCAGCAGCAACAACATAGTCATTGCAGTCATCGTCATCGTCATCATCATCAGCAGCATCATCACCAACATCAACATGCTCATAGTCATCATCATCAGCAGCACAATGACCATCAGTATCATCACGTACATCATCATCTTAATCATCATCAGCATCATCATCAGCATCAGCATCATCGACATCATCAACATCAGCAGCATCATTATCAGCATCATCATCTCCAGCATCAGCATCACCCTCCTCAGCATCAGCAGAATAATCATCATCATCAGCATCATCAGAATCATGATCATCGTCGCCATACTCAACATCGTCATTAACCTCACCAACACCAGCATCATCATTAGCATCATCAGCATCATCATCAGCAGCGGCATCAGCATCAGCATCATCGTTAGCCTCATCATCATCAGCATCATCACCATCACCATCAGCATCAGCATCGTCGTCATCGTCGTGGTCATCCTCACCATCATCGGTACCATCAGCATCGTCATGTTCATCGTCATCAGCGGCAACGCCAGCATGACCATCATCGACCGCATCACCAACATCGACAGCATCACCATCGAAAACAAAAGCATTGACATGCGCATGAACATGACTGCGACCGTCACCAGCATCGCCCTCGTCGTCAACGGAACCATCACGAACCACATAACCAACATCGGTATCCTAGTCGTAAGCATCGGCATAGTCGTCATTAGCATGATGATTAAGCGCAAACTCATCATCAGCAGCATAATCATCCGCATACTCAGCATCATCATAATCAGCAGCATAATCAGTCTCACCATCATCAGCCGAAGAGTCCGCATCAGCATCAGCAGCATCATCAGCGTCAGCAGAATTGTGTCAGCACCATCATCATCAACATCATCATCGTTAGCAGCGTCATCACGACCATCGGCATCATCATCATCAGCATCAGCATGATGAGCATCGGCATCATCCTCAGCAACATCATCATCATCATCATCATCAGCAGCAGCATCATGATCATCAGCAGCATCCCAAACATCAGCCCAAACATCAGATTCATCATCATCAGCATCAGCATCCCCACAACCATTAGTTCATCAGCATCGTCGTCATCGTCGTCATTATCATCGTCCTCGTCGTCCTCGTCGTCGTCTCGTCCTCGTCGTCCTTGTCGGCGTCGTCTCGTTCTCGTCGTCCTCGACGTGTTCTCGTCGTTCTCGTCGTCTCGTCGGCGTCGTTTCGTTCTCGTTATCGTTCTCGTCGTCTTCGTCGACGTCGCCATGGTCATCGTCGTAGTCGTCGTCGGGGTCGTGATCGTCGCCGTGGTCGCCATCGCCGTCCTCGTCGTCCTCGTCGTCCTCGGCATCGTAGTCGTCGTGGTCGTGGTCGTGATCGTGATCGTGGTCGTGATCGTGATCGTCGTCGTCGTCGAGGTGTAATTGTCGTCGTCGTCGTGGTCGTCCTCGTTGTCGTCATCAGTCCTCATTCCTCTTCTTCTTCCTTCTCCCATGGACGACGAAAGCGGCGGACGCACGTGGAAAAGGAGAAGGACCATGAGGAGAAGGATGAGGACAAGGAGGACCATGAGGACGATCACGAAAACGGTGACGACGATGACGGTGATGATGTTGCTGAGAATGCCGACGACGACGACGAGGACGAGGCCGACAAGGGCGACGGAGGCTCGCAGCGCCCGCGATGTTGTACGTGGAGCAGGAGAAGAGGTACACGAGCGTGCAGACGGCCAGCGGGCCGTTGCCCTCAGCGGGGGGGGCCGCCCGCCCCCGCGGAGGGGGGGGGGGGCGCAGGCGCGGCCCGCAGCACGAGCCGCCACGCCAGCCGCCGCACCAGCCGCCGCATCATCATCATCATCATCATCATCATCATCATCATCATCATCATCATCATCATCATCCTCAGCAGCAGCAGCAGCATCATCATCATCATCATCATCATCATCATCATCATCATCAGCATCATCATCATCATCACCATCATCACCATCGCCATCATCATCATCAGCTTCATCATCATCATCATCATCGTCATCATCAGCAGCATCATCTTCATCATCAGCATCATCAGCATCATCATCATCATCAGCATCATCATCAGCAGCATCAGCAGCATCGGCATCATTACCATCAACAACACCAGCAGTATCAGAATCATCAGCAGCAGCAACATCATCAGCATCATCAGATTCATCATCAGCATCATCATCACGATCATAATCATCAGCAGCAACATCATCCGCATCATAATTAGCATCATACTCGTATTCATAAGCAGAATTACCACCATAATCAGAATCCTCAGCAGCAGCATCGTCCTCGTCAGCAGCATCAGTATCAGCATCATCAGCATTATTACTTTTTATCAGCATCATGATCAGCAGCAGCATCATGACCAGTACCATTATCCTCGTCGTCGCCATCATCAGCGGCGTCATCCTCGTCGTCGCCATCGTCATCGTCATCGCCATCACCACCACCACCACCATCACCATCATCACCATCGTCATCCCAGACATCATCATCATCATCATCATCATCATCAGCAGCAGCAGCAGCAGCATCATCATCATCGTCATAATCGTCATCATCAGCAGCAGCATCATCACCATCATCATAACCAAACACCCTCATCATCAGCAGCAGCATCATCAGCATAAGCAGCAGCATCATCATCAGCATCAGCATCAGCATCATCACCAGGGGGACGTAAGGATAAGGACGAAGGGAGGGAGGGGAACGAGGAGAGGAGAGGAGAAAGGAGAGGGGAGAGGAGAGGAGACTGCCAGGGGACTCCCGCCACCACGCAGTGAGAACCAGGCACAAAACGCAGCACTTCAGAAACGGCCCGCGGCGTGTCCTGTCTGGATATTCGCTCGCCCGGCGTGCGAAGTACAGAGAGAGAGAGAGAGAGCACACGGTGTTACAGTGTTCTGAAAACGTGTCGTCCGTGCGCATCGAAAGCAACCCCTGGGCCAGGGAAGCTTGGGCAGGGCCCTGTGCCCTGGGGCTGAATTTAACTGAGGCCCCTGAACTGGGCCTGACCGCAGGATACGCGCGTACCGAACCACCACGGTCGGATGTCCTGTGTGCTGAACAACGTCGGGTGAGCGGGGCCCAACCCCAGCCAAGTGCAAAAATGCATCCCCTGGGCGCTCGGGCTAGGTAGCTGGCTATCCGAACGCAGGAGGAGGATTCCAGCTGGACAGAGCGAAGAGGAGGAGGAGGAGGAGCGGGAGGAGGAGGAGCAGGAGGAGGAGGAGCAGGAGGAGGAGGCGCCTGTCCCACTCTGGGGCGACAGGAACCCACGTTTTGTCACGCGTGCCCCGCGCTGGGGCGTTAGGAACCACGTGTTGTCACTCTTGCCCCGCTCTGGGGCGTTAGGAATCAGGTATTGTCACGTTTGTCACGCTCGGGGGCGTTAGGACCCAACGTGTGTGCACGCCTGTCCTACTCTGGGGCGTTAGGAGCACACGTTTGTTCACGCGTGTCCCGCCTTGGGGCGTTAGGAGCCCAAGTATTGTCACGCTCCCAAGGCCACGATCCCTCGTAAAGAAAGGCTCGACCGCACTCCCAAAACCACCTGTTCATCCTGGGGCGGCCAGGCCTTTCAAGCGCTGCAACAAGGATCGTTTCGCTTGAGACCTCCTCGAGCATTCGGCACGCAGGGCGCGCCGTCCTCGAGCGGGCAGACGACAAGTCAACATTGTCATTTTCTGGGGGAACTCAAAGATATCCGAATCTCGTTATGTAGTGGGGATTCTGCGCAAAACGCTTCGCCCCCCTTAGGCAACAAGGATCGAAGCTGGGGGTCTGCGGACCCCGTTAGGCAACAAGGATCCAGATGGAGGGACGCGTCAAACGCAATTAAAGCAATAGAGACGAATGAACAAATGGTAAGAAGAAAAAGAAGAACAATAGCAATAGCCGTCGAAATAGTAGCAGTGGAATTAGTAGTGGTAGTCGGAAAAGTAAGAACGATGATGATGATGATGATGATGATGATGATCAGCCTGATGATGATGAACTTGATGATGGGTGACATGGATGATACTAGCGATCATGATGATGGTGATGATGAAGGTGATGATAGCAATAACGATGAAGATAACGATTATGGAATTGTTATTGGTAGTGATATTAATATTTTGAAAAATACGACTGGTAATCAATTAACATCAAACATAGTTTGAAGAACATACTGAAAATGAAAATCAGACAAGAAAAGTAGTATCGATATACACATATATATGTATATACTAGAACCATCGCGCGCGCTTCGCGCGCGCTCAGGTTCTAGCCCAGGCCAGGGGCGCGCTTGAGGATCTTGCACAGCGCTATCAAGCACAGGCGCGTGACATAGTCGTGCCTCCTGAGGGCCTCTTGGAAACCTCTTGGGTCTTCGTGGGGGCATCTGAAGGGCTTCTGGGGCCCTCCATGCTTCCTCAATTGGCTGTTGCAGGCACATCTTGGGTGCTTCTCGGGGGGCATCTTGGGGCTTCTTGGGGTCCCTTGGGGGCATCGTCAGGGTTCTCCGGGCAGTCGGAAAGTGATGTTCTGCAGCCTGAAGCAGACAATTGGCCGTCTTGGCTGCGTAGAGGCCCAGCTTGAGGCCACATTGGGGCAATCCGGAAGCCTCCCGGGGCCTCCTTGAAGCAATTTGATTGGCCCCGTGTACGTCTCCTGTGAGCCTTGTGTGGCCTGGTGGGGGGCTTTGGTGGGCCTCGTCGAACCACTTGGGGACTCTTGGGGCCTCCTGTGGGCCTCTTAGGGCGAAACGCTCTGCTGTTGGGTTCGCGTTCACCTTCTTGGGGCTCTCTTGGGGCCCTCTTGGGGCCCTCTCGGGCCGTCTTGGGCGCCTCGGGCACCGTCTTGGGGCCCTCGTGGGCCGTCTTGGGGCCCTCTTGGAGGCCTCTGCGGTCTTGGGGGCCTCTTGGGCCGTCTTGGAGCGTCGGGAAGCCAAAAGGCTGGGAACTTTAAAATCCATCAAAAGCCGATGGGAAAACATTGCTTCTTGGAACCTCTTCGGCCTTCTGGGGAGCTTCTTGAGGGCCTCTTGGGTCCCATTTGGGGGCCTCTGGGGCTTCCTGAGAGCCTCTCGGGGTGGAAGGCTCGGATTTTCGGTTCGTCTTACCCCTCTTGGGCCCCCCTTGGGGCCGTATTGGTGCCCTCTCGGGCTGTCTTGGGCCCTGTTGGAGGCCTCGTGCGCTATCTTGGATTGGTCTTGGAGGCCTTTTGGGCCGTCTTGGAGCGTCAGGACGCCAAAAGGCTGAAAACTCTAACATCAATCAAACACCTACGGCAAGACATGGATTTGTGCCTCTTGGGGCCTTCGTGGGAGGCCTCTTGGATACGCTTCGGCCCCCTGGGGGGGCTTCTTGGGGCCTCTTGGCGCCTGTTAGGGCTTCTCGGGGCCTCCTGAGAGCCTCTCGGGATGGAAGACTCGGATTCTCGGGTCATGTCAACCCTCCATCTTGGGGCCGTGTTGGGGCCCTCTCGCTCCGCCTTGGACGCCTCTGGCGCCGTCTTGGGACCCCCGTGGGCTGTCTTGAGACCGTCTTCGAGGCCTCTGGGGATGCCTTGGAGCGGAAATTGAAGCCTCTTGGGCCGTCGTGGGGCGTCAGGAAACTCGAAAGGCGAGACGAGAACTCGAAAATCGATCAAAAACCAAAGGAAAACAAATTAGGTGTGCCTCCTGGGGCTCCTTGGGAGCCATCTTGGAGACCTCTTGGGGCGTCTTGGAAGCCTCTTGGACAGTTAGGGACCAATTCTGGGTGATCTCGGGCGGTCATTGGTCGTGTTCGTTGTGTGGAAACGGCAGGGCCCCCGGGCCTCCCGGCGCGAGGGCCCCATCCCTGGCCCCACCTCGTGCCCGCGGCAGGGCGTCCCTGGGCCGTCTCGGCGCCCTCGTGGGGTGTCTCCATCAAAAATCGAAGGACAATCGATGATTTTGGCGTCCCTTTGGGCCGTGTTGGAAGCCTTGTGGGCCGCCCGGGGGCCATCTTGCGCGCGTTCGAACGATATGTCCTCGTTTTGGGGCCTCCTGGGGGCCTCTTGCGGCCATTTTCGTTTGTGTTAGGGCTTTCTTGGGCCGTGTGGGGGCGGCCCTGGGCTGTCTCGGCGCCCTCTTGGAAGCCTGTTTGGGAGATTTCTGGGTGTCCTGGACCGTCCTCCTTCAACGTCGGCGGCACTGACCGTAAGACTTCCTGGGAACATAATTTGTTGGGGTGTCGTTGGGCGCCTCCGGAGGCTTCGGAACCTGACGCGTATCCGAGCGTGACGGCAGGTATCGCTGCTTGGGGCTCTCGTGTTTTTATCCTGGCGGGCGTTTAGGGAACATGGTTTGGGGACAAGGCGGCAACCCGAGAATCATGTTCCCGGGAAGCTTTCCGGAAACATGATTTGTTCGGCTCTCCTAACAGGGGGGCCTCTGGGGGCTTACCGAGGGGCCCTTTTTGGCCTTGTGGACGGAAGCCTCTGGACGGAAGCCCAAGGAATCATGTTCCCGGAAAGCTCTGGGAAATACGATTTACCGAAGTCTCTTGGGAGCCCGCAGGGGGCCTCCCTGGGGCCCCTTGGGAACTCATTGGTGCTTCTGGGGGGCCTCTTGGGAGCCTCACGGAGCTTCTTGGGAGCCTCTTGATGGCCTCCGGGGGCGTCCTAGGAGCCTCTCAGGCTGGAGACCTTGAAATGTCGCGCTCTTCGGGCCCTCTTGGGTCGCTCTTGGGGCTCTCTTGGGGCGCTCT